CCTTGACAAATGACCACGACGTCTCTGACAGACATTTCGATTATTTACCGTATATTTTATTATCTAGTATGTATAAGTTATTCTTTTGATATTGCTTGATTTATTTTGTCAACTTCCTTTAAGATGCTGTATGTAAAAGTTCCTAAACAAATACACACTTATATTAATCTTATTTCTAACTAATTTCATTTTATTCTGTTTGATTTTCTTATTTTTGACCGTATTTTCGCCTAGACTTTTGATGTTACTGGGCTTAAAATGTGTAATCTAAGTTATAGCGACATACAAATCACTTTTTATATAATCTTTTATTTGTGTTTTAAAAAATAATGTTAATATATTGGATGTCTAAAGGCTAATTAACATCGGAGACGGATTTAAGGAATGCTATTATTTCACTCAATAGTACCCTACCATTTAAAAGTAACTCATTAACTACCAGTAAAAAGGTAACTACCAAATGTTAAAAATCAGTATTTATTATTTGCGTGTAACAGGATATATAAGAAAATCAATACAATAGTCACCTATTTAGCTATCAACAATTAGCATTTAATATTGCAAAGAAAACAATCACTCAAAGCGCTGATCAAATTTTTAAGTGAAACATATATTAACATAAGATAGATTAGAACTAAATTATTTGGTCTATTTTTAGTTACGTTTAGATTCAATATTGTAGGTATCCCTGTAGAGAGTCACAGATACAAATAAAAGCTGTGATTATCAAACATTCTTGATAGATAAATAATATCACTATAAATGATAGTATCGGAACTATTATTTTCTATATCAAGTGATGACCTGTGAGATCCCGGTGTTCTGGGGGCGAAATCCCGCGATTCAATCCTCTGTAATCCCTCAACGATAATAATAACATTGGCTCAAATCCTCGCCCGCTAATGTATCAACCTCCCAGCGGAGTTTAAACTGCTTAGTGCTTAAAAACCCCAAGTAAGAGGTTTGCAAACAATGCCATGTGAGTCACTGGTTTCCTTACTTAATTTTAAATAGGTAAATAAATGCCATAGAAATATGTTAAGTTATTAACGGCTGACTTACATCGGTATGTAAATGAGTCATTACTTAAAATTTGCTTCACATTGGAGCACAAGTCTTCCCTATGAAATGTATCGAATCCGTATAAGGGGAATGGCCCATGACCTACCATGTGAGTTCATCTTCATCAGCTATTTTACATCCCCACTGCAGGAGCTCATTTCTTCCTAATGGATGGGTCATGCGTATAAGACGATATTAATGACTGCAAATGCATCCGGGACCAACGGCTCAACGGATCTTCCGAAGCACAGAGTAGCAGGAGATAATATTTTTTTTTGCAAAAGTTGATTATCAACACCGATCTCGGGCCGAGACGACTTATTCATTACACCACCGAGCTACAATTACACGTGAGCCTAGTTTGGTATTAACGAATTAACATTTCTTCCAAAGGTCGGAGGAACTTGAGAAAATTTTTGGTCACCCATTCTATGTCCGACCCTTGCGAAAGTTGAATAACTTCTCAACTGTACCATAGAGCTCATTACGAAGAAGGTACTTAACGACTTATTTTACTTATCATGTTATACAGTTCTTAAAAAGTATGGTTACAATTATTAACAAGAATTATTTATACCTATATACAGTAGTAATTATAAAAAAAATGTAATAAAACTCAACTATCTTATGGAAGTTGATGATTTTTGGGAACTGTGTGTCCTAAAGGCCTTTTGTGAATATTATTTTGATGCAACAAATTTTTTAATTTTATTGTTAGAAGAACAAATCAAATAGATAATTATGTGATAAATGTTCTAAATAAAGACACAGATACCTACAAACAATACATTATCGATATCTTATCTCGCAGGTATCACGATAATATATTAAAAGTCTACTCAGGAGGTATCCAAGAGCACTTATATAAAAATATGAACACTACATAGTGCATCCAATCGCGCAAATGTCGCGAAGAACTATTCGGCTCCCGGGGGCCCGCGGCCATCCCGGCCTTCATACATAATGCCCGCGTATAAATTTCAATTTTAAACCCAACGTATAAAGTTACCCCATTTGCGGATTACGAGGGTTACTGCCACTTAATCAGGTAATGGGACTTCTTTTGACTATGTTTTTGAAGATAAAGTAACCTAAGTTTTGTTGGAAAAGAAAAATAAAAACAATTCATAATTCTAGTCACAAAGTACAAGCAAAAAAAAAATATATAAATAACCAAATTTACTAACTAATATTCTTCAATTGCGCTATGTAATATATAGATTGAAGCACTACGTCCATGTTTAACTAGATCTGGGCGGTCAGTCCTTGTACTGTCACGTTATGTTTAGTATATAATTCACCTTTTTTCTAATCTATTATTTATGTACTCTATTGTTTGTGGTTTTTGATTGAATTTAAATATATTTTTTACAAGCTTGTTTGAAAATTACAGTTTAGTTATTTTAATTGTATTTCAGTTTTATAATTTGTAATTTATAATAGCGTGTTTTCTGTGCCAAGGGCCATTATTAGACTCGCGCTATAAGATCAATGCTAACAATTCTTTAAAAGTGTTCTATATGCGAATATCATCATGATTTGTAACAATATCTATACAATTAAATATTATGCAAAGATAAAGTTATCATTTATTGATGATAGTATGTTCACAAATTGCACATTAGAAATGTTATGTATGTCCGATGGATATAGGAAACTTATCGCTAGAATGCACAGAAGCTTATTTATAATCCTACTTGATTTCTTATTACCGAATTATATCTATATCAATATTCCAACTTTACATTGCAAATAAATCCAATAAAATATATTCAGCCTATTTTATTACGGCCGCTAGCCAGTCTCATCGCATCGAATTTTAATTCCGACTTACGAATGTGAATAACCCCGTCGAACCTCCAGAGATTCCAACGAAATCAATACGAAAAACTTACAGATCTGAGCAGAAAACGACTGCAGACACAGAATAAAAAAGAAACGGTAGCCCATAATTTCGTGAGGGAGAGAGGCGATTACAGCTATTAAATATGCATTAACGAATTTTTCTCTTTTAAAAAGCTGAAACACCGGAGTAAAGAGAAAATTGGAAATTACCACCCGCCTTCCCGCTGTATCTACCTTTTCAGATAAAATTAGATTTGCTCCTTAAAGATACACAAAGTGGGCGTTAGGACGTTTTAATATTTTCCCTTTAAGGATAAGCTGTAAATTACGTAATTTAAATGTATACACAGACTGTGTGGAAAATGAATTTTCAGTGAGAAAATTTGCGGCGTTTTCGATGTTTCTGGTATTTTTATTCATATAACTCTGTAGGAATGATTATGATGATAAAATGAAATTGTCTTTGTGCTTCCAATTTATAAGACGCCTTTAAATCATTTTTACAGCGCTTAAATATGTATAATAGCCGTTTACCCCGACTTCGCCCGCGTAAGTTATAGCCTATATAATCCGCGTATGATATAGACTATATTCCCGGCATGATGGGATGAGTATGCATACAATCTACAAATAATGAGAACGGTTATGATTTTGGTATTTTGCTTTCACGAATTAATCAATTTTTTATAGATAATATTTGGTTTGTCAAAGTTATATTAATTAATTTGATCGTCATAAATTATTATATTTCATTATTTTGTCCTATCATAATTAATCATATCTATTCTTTCCTTTTAAATAAATACTTATAAGTGTTAACTAAATTTAATGTCGCTTAAGAATGGCGGTAGTGAGACGAACTAAGTTATAAAAACTCGTTCATAAACTTAACTATTTATCTTTGTATACCGAACAAATAAACTCCGTATTAGTAAATGCCTAGAGTTACACAAGTTATGGTAGGGGGAGTGACGCTCCACCTGGAGAGGGAGGGATGCTAGTGTCGCTATAATCAGTTAATTGCATGAATAATTGAATGCGTCATTACTACCAGCGCCATCTAGCAAGCTTAGGAGTTGTTAGGTATGGGTAAGCTATCAAATGGGGAATTAATTTTCTGTGTTGGACACATTATTACTATACAGTTTGAATATCAAGTGGCGAAAATTAGTTTATGAAAATTTAAAGACTGTAGATATGTGTATTGAGTAACTATTTGTTAAAATAACACTAACACACCGTCCTAATTGTAAATAAAATTATTTATTATATATTTTTCTTTTTTGTTCGTTATATGGTTGATCTATAATCCTAGCTTCATGTTTTCATTACCCAGTGTTTGAGTTTTTTCCATCAGAGTAAACAAAAGTCAAACTTGATACCGAATAACGTACACACGGTGCGTTAACTAATAGGGAAATAAAATGAAGTCAGTTTTTTTTTTTCAGTGGGTGCATAATCCTGGAATCTACATGTTAGAATTATTTTTATAATTTATTTGTGTATATATAATCTATATTTATTATTGTAATCATATATATCTATCTGAAGGATGAATCGTATTCAATCAATATTAAGCCAGCTTTGTTTGAAGGTGGTTAAGTTAAAACGCTCCACGAGGCTTTGTAAAGTTCTTATTTATTGCAATATCTTCTTCTTTAGTTAGCCGATCAAATTTATTCCTTTTTTGTACTAAATTAAAATAAAAATCAGTACACCATTGGCTTTTCTATATTGACGTAATGATCGCTTTATGACCTACGGTTTAAGGGTCAAATTTCAGTGACAAAGTAATCGCCTGTATGTGTGCTAACCAATGCTAACCTTTAGTCCATGTATCACGACTATACCATACGAAAGCATGCTTTACCTTAGTCTTTCATCGCGTCACACGCGTGCGCCGCACAATTACTGTCAATTTGTCGCTATACATAATTAATTTTCATTAACGAACGCCAAGTGTGTATAGGGTTAGTGCCAACTATGTGCCTATCAAATATTCATGACGACGTGTCAGCTATTTCATGACGGCAAATATCAAAGGCAATCGAATCAGCAAGGGTTCACGTGAGCCCGTATTCATAAATACAATAATGGACTATAGTAAACGTCCATCGACTAGGTACCTACACTATGTGATGCTTAAGCCCGTTTTACACTTCGACAAGTACAGTGGCGACTTGATTTGCCTGTCTGGGGAGTGAAATCTTTTTCGTTGTTCACACGCAATAAGAACTCAACTGACCAGAGAGACATGTTCTCTCCACTCGATTTAATGAAGTCGGTGTTTAGCTCCTTGGAACAAATTGAAAATTAGCAGTATAATTATAACTAATTCATGGTTTATAGAAAGCGCCAGACTCACTAATAGCATATAAAAATACATTCAATCATGCATTTTCTGTGCCATTGTGAATTTTACTTGTTGTCACTATAAAACATGCATAAAGCATTTATTATTGCATAGATCTATATAGTATATAGTACGTAAACATAATCGCGTGTCATCTTCTCTCTCAATTCATTCATCTTCATCTCTATTTTTAAAATAATAATCGCTCCAGAGCGTGCCTCTGTCGCTTCGGCTAGCCCGCTATGCCATGTTGCCGCAATAGTCTTAGTAGACCATATAAACGACATTGGATTTTAAATTATCTTATATAAGAAATCATATCTTTGGCTAGAACATGTAGGTTACCTATGTACATCGCTAAAGTCTCAAAGGAATTACGTACGTTACGCATGTATAAAAGACAGAAAAATTTATATTCGTCAAGATGATAATAAATTTTACAGAAAATAAAATCTAAGGGCATGTATACATAATGCAAGGTTTGTTTGAGCAGTAACCGTCGTCGTGCACTCAATAACATAGCTACATGCCGAATCTTCGAAGCATCTTTCATGTAGTGAAGAATCGAGGCTAATATACAATGCGTGCCTGGTAACTGAACAACTCATGCTAGTGCCAAAGCGACTCTCAGTTTTTCAACGAGCGGCGACACTCAAAATGTCTCTTGAGTGAGTCTTTCTATGTGGATACACGGCTTTATGTTATGATTATATGATTAAGGCTTTATTATGCTGAGCTAAGGAACTCAAAACTCAACAACAAAAGCAACAACACATCTGGTAACCAGAAATATTTTCAGCTATTTATTTCAGCAATTGATCTGAAAACTTACAAAATTTCTCATATTTGGAAAAATAGGAGAAATTTTGTGTTTCCTGTTGACTATATAGCTATGTATCTGGAAATAGCCGAAATTCGCAGACAAAACAGCTTCTGACTTATTATCTCCAAGACTGAAATTTTGATATAAGATGGTACGATTGCGCCATATTGTTAATCAAAACAACATTAGCCTCCTTAAGTGTTATATTAATTCTCTTTGTCGGTGCTGATGCTCAATTCCTGAATATTAAGGAGTCGACGAGACTCAAATCAATTAACTGAGGCGCCTCATTGCCGTTTTGAGCTTGACCCTACCTTGTAATGGAATTTGTATTTGCATAGTAGGGCTTTGTATAATGACACTTGTCATATTTAATTGAAGTTGATCAAAGTATCATATGGAATTTGTACAACTAGTGAACACCCATTTAGCTGAATGGAAGATTTTATGTTCTTTAAAAAGCTAATGCTAATTTTGTTTTAATGTTAGTTATAAAAACGAACTAAATTAAGAAACGAATTAATTAAATTAAATTATTGTCTCTCTTTTCTATGTATATTTGTTATTTGTCCGTGTGCAAAAAAAGGTTATGTTCTGAGCTTCATGAGCCGTATCGATTATATAAAAATCTGTTATTTCCAAGGGCAAAAGAATCACAGTATAATAAAATTAGCGGTATCAAAAGTGACAGCATCTGGCGTGGTGGCGGTGGCACGATGGTGGCGCGCGACGCGACACATCAATTATTACCGCTTGTAATGAACACAAATCCTTTGATTCCATTGAACGAATGCCAGGGGACTATGCGTGTCAAGCCACAGACGACAGACATGTTAGAATTATAGTTCTCTACGGGATCTCTACCATTGTTTGAATATTGAGGCTCGATTAATCTAATGTAATGGTAGCATTCCCATAGAAAACTATTATTGCAATATTATTGCCTTGTAAGTTTTACACAAAGTCTACCTTGACATGTTTCTTACAATAGAGAGTATAATCTAACATGATAATTCATAGCTGTGATTTCTCATACATTTTACTAATAATAAGCACTTGGTGATACACAATTGAAACATAATTCAGTTCGATTTCCTCTTTTAAAATTATTCTACTATTACTTGTATATTGTTGCACTGTGGCAGGTCTGCCCATATTGTTTTTGTTCCATCGGGGTGTTCGTTCGGGGTTTTTGGTACTCAGATTTTTTTTAAGGAACAAACAGTTACATTTTACTTATCATAATAAAATATAGTACATGTTTCTAAACCTATAGTTAAACAATCTTTATATGTAATTCTATAAGGTATTTTAGTTTTTATTAGCAAATAAGGTGAAAACAAAATCTCTATAAGTAGGTATGGTATCTTGTCGCCTATATATTATGTAAGATTTCATTCTTTTTCTTTTCGACGACTTCTTCAAATTAAGCGACATGTCATATTTTAAGTCGTTATCCACCGCTGGTCGCTCATCGCTTGTGACGCGCCCCATACGCCACGGTACATCAAGTATGCACTAAGAGAATGTCGGAGCGTCGCGACACCTAGCTCTCATTTCATTGTCTCGCTGCTACACTATGTCCCGATGAATTTTGCAGCCCCCAACTTAGTAGATAGAGACACGGCACGGTATTATTGTTTGTTAGCACCGAACGTGTAGTAAGATTTACTGGAATTGACTTTATACTTAAAATATAAATGTACCTAGTTAAAAACATCGATTTTGCACTTCATATAAATTTGACAACAATCTCCTTTTGAAATCAGTTAATGAATAAACCCGATTGATTTTCATTTTCTTATTTCTGTGTAGTAAAATGATTTTATCACGCCAATGAGTGTATGTAAAAGAATAAGTATATAATAAATTATAAACGAAATTTTAAAATAAGACAAATTTTCTAATCATATTCGGTTAGTTAAATGGTATGGGGAACTGAAAAATAAATATAATATCTACCTTTAACTTTTAAATCTTTCCAATATACAATGTAATTAGTTTTCAATTGTTAAACTTATTAAATTGCATACAATTATATTATCTAACCTTGTCTGTCAATTATTTAATATTTACAGCATACAATCACAGGTAGAAACTACATACAGTGAAATCAAATGTATATTTCTATATATCGTTAACTTCTTTACTGTCTAGGATATTAAAATACACAGGTTGTCAGCGGGACAGACCGCGAAATAGCCCACTAACATTAAGTGTCGATTTTAAGAATACAGTGTCTGCTTTGTGAATGTGTACATATCTAGTCTTAGCTTACACATAACGATGTTTATGAAAAAACAATGACTTGAGAGCTGCGCCAGGAGCTTTATCTGGCTCTAACTGCTTTCCCTATTTGAATAGTCTGTGAAACATTTGCCAGGATTTCTTTTAATAAAATATGAAGGTAATATGATGATATACGGGGCCCCCACTTGAAAGTTCTTCGAATAAACCAGTATGAAAGGAATGCCAAATTTCGAACGAATTAGAAACTCTTTTAAAGTCGTTCTCTCTTTCTTATACGAGGGTCAAACTGAAAGTTCTTAGAAAATCAAAAACTGATTACATTAGCCAGTTATTAGTTTTATTATATCTTTTCAAAATATTGTCCATTCACGTCAATACACCGCTGCATGCGATGGAACCACTGGGAAAAGCACTTTGCCCACTCGTCCTTAGGGGTCTCTTCAATGGCATCGCGATACGCAGCCACCGCTTCTTCAGCATTCATAAACCGCTTTCCTTTAAGTTTTTCTTTAATTTTTGGAAATAAATAAAAATCACAAGGCGCAAGGTCGGGGCTATACGGCGGGTGACCCAGTAATTCAACGTTTGATGTCGCCAAATAGTCGATCGTTCGCTTGGCGGTGTGCGACGAGGCGTTGTCGTGGTGAAGGAGGATCCTACTGCGAGGTCGTTTCTCTCGAACTTTTTCCAAGACAAGTGGCAAACAATTGGTAGTGTACCATTCTGCAGAAACTGTTTTTTGATCCTCTAACACAATTGTTGCAAAATGACCTATCCTTCCAAAGAACGAGGCCACCATTTTTTTTCCCGCACTTCGATCTCTCTTCACTTTAGTTGGCAACTCCTCGAAAGGAAACACCCACTGAGCAGATTGTCTTTTGGTTTTAGGATCATAACAGTAAATCCAGCTTTCGTCACCTGTTAATATGTCGAACACAGCATTTGAGTCACCTCCGTTAAATCTTTCAATCATTTTACGACACCAATCCACACGATGGAGTTTTTGAGCCTCAGTCAAATTATGAGGTATCCACCGGGCGCAAAGCTTCCTGACCGCTAAATGTTCGTGGAGGATTTTGTGCACTTGACTCATACCGATGCCTAAGCTTGTCCGAATCTGTTGATAGGTCACTCTTTTGTCAGTCTCTATCATACGCCGCACAACACAGATGTTATCTTCAGTCGTCGCCGTAGAAGGCCGTCCCTCACGTAAATCATCAGTGAGATTAGTGCGACCACGTTTAAACTCATTAAACCAGTTGTAAACAGTCGCACGAGATGGGGCTTCATCGTGAAAGGCCAATCGTAGTCTATCATAACTTTCTTGTTGACTTAAATGACATCGAAAGTCATAAAAAATCATTGCACGAAAATTTTCTCGTGTTAAATTCATGATGACGTGACACAGACAATTTTCAATTTGCCGCCAAATCGTAAAACAAATGACAAATTAATGAAATATATACTCAGTAATATTGGCAAAGAGTTATATTTTCAAATTTTAGAATTATTTTTTTATTATATTGTTTATAAGTGGCCAGTTCTAAGAACTTTCAGTTTGACCCTCGTATGTGTTAAATAACTTAATATGTAATTTATAATGTACAATTTGTTAACTAATATATTTTGCATCGAATATAAATTAGAGAAAAGTAACAGTAGTATCCCTAATAGTATCCCTGATAGGTAAAAATTTCAGTTTTCCATATTTGTTTACTTTCTTCTACATATAAGTAAATCTGTTATATTAAATGAAAATGATCCCCGACTACTTATATTTTGGCCGTACTCACCCGGTTCCTAATATTCGTACCGGTTCGCTGGTCTCTAACACGGTTAGTCGGATCAAAGGACGATACGACGGCACGAGACGCAAATCGATTTTGATAAAACATCACCTTTCATTATAAATGAATTGGTTATTTAAGAAACGGCACAAGTCTAAATTTTATTGAAAATGAGTTTTTAATGCTCTAGTTCCACGTACCAAAGAGAAATCACACAAGTCCATCTTCATACGTTCCCTCGGTCATTCTTAATTGCACTTTTTCACCTTGTGCGACAAAAATTCTTAGATATTTATTGATTTTATTTGTCAGAGTAAAGTATGATTCAAGATTTTTCCATCTTACAAAGAGTAGGTACTTCATTATATTTAGACGATAGGCATAGGTCTACCAGTATCTAAAGATGTATTTTATGCATAAATATTTCAATAATAATAATGTTATATTGTAAAATATCTGTTTGTCCGCAGCTCAGGCGCATTCCGTTCGTCGCCGGGCACCAGTGAGCCGGCCCCCGCGCCCCCGCCACCCCTATTTCTGCCCCCGCACTTGTCCCATCTATCGCAGCACCTTAACCATCTATCACAGCCATTTTTCCCACTAAAAGGTATGTTATCTATATTATATTAATTACAATTTTGATCACACGCTTATTAAAGCTGACATTACTTATTTATTTTAAATAAGAATAGCGAATTATGTCAGTTCTATTAAATCACTGGCGTACTTAGATAAAATATATAATAAATCTATGCTGGTGTACAGGTCAGTGTTACTACAAAAAAAAAAATTAAAAAATTTGACTTTTTAAATTCCAAAAGATGTCGACGCCTTTTTTAGTGGCTTTAGCTTTAGCTAAAGAATATCATAATATAATATCAAGATAAGACTTTAAAATATTCAATTAAAATAGCAATATCACAATTAAATATAAGTACCGACAGTTTTAATAATGTATTTTTTGCTTGGAATATATAGTTTTCTGGGAATTTTTATATTGACTATAATATAACATTATTTAACAGGCTGGGGAGCTCCCTGTCCCTGCTGTCCGAAAGAAGAAGCCCGTTCGTCGAGCGTGGCAGAACTGCGTCGCAAAGCTCACGAACATTCCGCCGCTCTTCTGCACTCACTAGCGAGCTTTCAGTCGCGGGCACTGCTCCCTCTGCCGTTGCATCTGCCCCCACTACCGCTCTCTCTACTGCCGCACGATTCACAACCTACCCCCGCGCCGCCAGACCCGCCTAAGCATCTCGAATAAAGACAATTAATTAAAAAAAAAACTAATAAACAATTGTCATTGCGTTTGCAAAACCCGCTATGTGAAAAAAAAAATAACTTATAAAGAACAACAAAAGCTGTTTCATAGTATAAAAAAATAAACGAATTTCTCTTGGTTATCAAACAGAACCTTCATATTGAAGATTTAAGGGTATAATTTACTAAAGTTACAAAACTTTGTGCTGAATGAAGATTGATGTATGAAAAAGTTAATAACAAATATTTCATGCATTATTATAACCAAAATTATAGTTAAAATAAAAAAATACATGTCATTTATGAGCTTATAATTGAATTAAACCTCATCAAAAAATAATATTACTATATAAAAAAATAAAATTGAGCTCTATATGTTTTCACTAACCACCGAAAAATTACAAAATGTATCTAGAAAAATATGAACTTATCTCTTGGAACGATCAGAATCTATTTCCTACTCAAATACTACAGCAAACAAAAAAAAATATCAATCCAAGGTCTCGTTGAAGTCTTTTCTTGGGAAATTATGAACAAGATATAATTATCAACAATCGTTTTATAGTAACAATTATTTTTGAGAACATTTATAAAATTTTAGAATCGCCATTATTTTCATTAAAAAAAGTGTAAATCGGTCTTGTTGGACCACTTAAATCCAAGTTTTCAGGTGGTCTAAACTGGTTTGTAAGTTTGTGAAATCAACGACTAGCTATTCTTATCCCGCTTTGAATGAATATTTATGTTAGTACCTAGACAAATAGCTGGATCTGTATTTCGGTTTTTCATGTTCCTATTGATATGCTATACCAATATGTGTATAGTATAAGTAGGTATGATAAATTTTGTAGTTAAAGAAATAAAATACGAGTAGTTTACTTATTCACTTACGTTATAATGTTGTTAGGACCTTTATACTGTTTTGCCGCGTCTATTACTCATCAGTATTAATAAAAAATCTAATAACAAAAATACTATATACAGCTAACAACCAAAAAGCATTAAATAATACACATAGTAGATTCTGCAACGGCAACCACAATACACTTAACAAATTATATTACCTACCTATGTATTGCAATAAAAGTGAATTCATATGTGCCATTAATTTAATCTGTGCCAATGTTACGTGTCATAGTCTTTTATTTAATTCAAAATAAATAAGTTGTAACTTAATTATAGTTAAGTAGTGATGAATCATGAGTGTCCTATGGAAAGAGAATCTCGTATTTGTTTAAAATTACTTTTCTTTAGTATAATGCCACGAAGCGGAAACATTATGGCCTAAAAGCGGTGATTTTGTTTTGGAATATAGGCTCGGGTTACTGTGATCTGTGAATTATAATTTAAATTATAATTTTTACAAAAAAAAAAGTCTTTCCTTCAAAACAACATATTTATGTAAGTTTTTTTTTTATATTAATAAAGTGACATTCGTCGGACATTGTAAATATTGCTTTTAAATAAAATATATCGTAGGAGTGTATGAAACAAGGCAACGAGGGAACAAAGCCCTAAAACATTTCTGACAAATTTGTTTTTTCAAAATGAGATTTTTTTATTTAATCGTAAGAAGTACAGTAAACGTTTAGCTGCTGGATTGCGTTGTGATTTACGCAATTATCTGCGATACGATTGTTATGCTCCTTTCGCATAGGCCGGTGATAGGATGGGCGACCAAAAATTTACTATCTCAAGCACCTCCGTACTTCTGAGGGCACGTAAAACCGTTGGTCTCAGCTGTATCTGAAGTTTATATCCACCCCAGTGAGCCCCGTATTGGTTCATGGTCCAATCTCCGATTCCATTTCATCCATAGGAAGGCCTGTGTTCCAGCAGTGGATCAATAGGCTGGTGATGATGTGAAAAGTTTTGGCTATGTTAGAATTGTGATCTGAAAACTTCCCCAACGCCCCGTTATGTACACTCCAACGAAATGTATTAAACAAGTACAGTATTTGACCAAAAATATTGTGAATATGTCCTTTTTCAATTGTCATGTAGCTACCAAATAAAACAAATATGTGGTAATGTAAATATTAAAATTATTGTATGAACAGTTTTCAAATATTATTCATTGTAATTCAGTGTTTGTATAATGTCTGTAGTGATATTATAATGTACATAAATGTATATGGGAAAGATTAAGATGCAGTCGCGTGCAACAGTATTCTCAACATTTTCTACAGCACCAATGAAAACTATATTTTAAAAACTCAGGCAGTTTAAAGTTATTTTTGGTCAGTTTAATAGAAATATAATATTGTTAATTTTCAAATACTCTAAAAAATCCAATAATTTTCTTAAACATTTATCATCAGTACAATTGCGATATTTGATAAACTTTGAATTCAAAAATCGCAATGCCTTATGATTAGTAAAATTATTTTCTATTGGGTTTAATTTGTGATAAATGAAATAATGGTAAACCACCTCTCTATTGAAATAATGTAATTTATTTTCGTAATAATTATAAGTAGATAATATTCATACGAATCAATCTGACACCTAAAGGCTATTCTATTCCTCCGAAAACGAAATTTCACCTAAATTCGAAATGCTAATTATTATACGACTAAAATAAACGCATTTTTCGATAATTTATGACGCAACACGCATAGATAATGATGTATACGGAATATAACTTTAACAAATTTACATAAAAGAAGACAAATAGAATAAGCACTCTAGGTGTCACGTTAATTCGTACGAGTTAAATAATTATTCCGTTCATGAAAAATTCATTTTGTTTGCTAAAATCTACTCGAGAAGCCACAAAAAGAAAATTACTATAAGGATAATAAAAATGAACCCTTCGTGTTTTTTTTTTGATTATTTTTTTTCTGAATTTTTGTTGGAGGTCTGTTAACATAAACACCTACTACTTACCCATAACAATTAATTAATGCAATACATGTATAACAATAGAATTTTTTAATAAATAATATAATATAATCAAGTCCCACTCCCACGTCGCGTCTGTATATAGATAAGAAAGAGAAAGGTATATAACCGCTGCACCATGCACGAAACGTGGAATTGTAGGCGTGGGTGTAATGTGTATAATATTATAAATAGGTAGTTATAAATTTAACTTAATGCAATACGTACCTTAGTTACACGTGGTTAGTTGTTTTAATTCATTATTAAATAAAACATTATATATGTAAACAATGAAATAAGTTTGTTTTATTTTAATTATGCGTTACCTTAAAGTACCTACTGAAGACTGCCTGAGGGCATAATGCGGATTAGTTAAAGATTATTTTGTAAATCTTTGTGTAGATACAACACCGGCTACTACGAAATTTATTTTTTTCGCTTAATTTTGTACTAAATCTTTTGCTCATAAAGTGTTAAAAAATTGCCAATTTTGTAGAACTCAAAAATTTGTGAATTGTACTACTCAGAGCAAAAGAAGTCAAATTAGGTCTAAGTTTGCTTAATTCTAATTGCATTCTTTTTTTAGTCATTTGGGGCAACAAAACAAAAGCATATAATGTCTTATTTCAAGAAAAAGGATGTAAATTTAGTATCTATATATTACGTTTATACCAGGTTATAAGCATTATGCGACCAAAATAAGTAGCTCGGTGGCGTAGTAGTAGCTCGGTGGCGTAGAGGATAAGCGCCACGGCCCGCGATCGTTGTCGTTAAGCAACTTTCGTAAGGGTCGGTCACGGGATGGGTGGTCAAAAAAATATTATCTCGAGCTACTCCGTGCTTCGGAAGGCACATTAAGCTGTTGGTCCCGGTTGCATTTGCAGTCGTTAATACCCGCCAATCCGCATTGGGCCAGCGTGGAGGGTCATGGCCGATCCTCCTTAACCATCCACAAGGAAGGCCTGAGCCCCTGCAGTGGGGACGTAAAAGGGATGATGATGATATCTATATAAATATTATAAAGAGGAAAGATTTGATTGTTTGTTTATTTGCAACGAATAGGTTCCGAACAACTGGATCGATTTTAAAAATTCTTTCACTTACGAGAAACTACTTCATAGGTATGCGGTGAACAAACACGTAACGTTACCATAATAACGATTGTGTACTATCAATGTAAATATATTCGTGTCATCGTGTGATGATCACTGGTCGGAATTAGGTAGAGTTATTCATGTACTTACACTGATTTCATACAGCGAAAGAATAAAGTGGATATGCCTCAAATCCCGAGATTAATTTTAAAGAGCAGAAAAAATCCCGTATTTTTTTAAATAAAAAGTTATTTACTTTTACACAATTTAAACTACTGCACGCACGACGTTGCCAAACTTACATCAATGAAAGAAAGAAATAAAGAAAGAAGAAATATAGAAATCCCGGGAAGGTCCAAATTAATATCAACATTTCGACGCAATTACATAAATAACTCTACCTAATTCCGACCTCTGGTGATGATATAAATCGATATCCAAATAAGCAGTTAAAAAATAGAACCGAATTCAAACTTTAAAAAAGTTATAATTAATACTTATCTCAAAAGCGAGTTATTCAAGAAAATGCTATTGAAATCGGGCGCTTATCATTTAAATAATAAACCCGCAGAAGACCTCCGCTCGACTTTAATAGCATTTTCTTGAATAAGTAGCTTTTGAGATAAGTAGTTTTATCACTTTTTTAAGTTTTGTAGACGGTTAAGTTTTTATATCTTCTGCCCTTGTCAATTTGCTTAATGCGGTCAATATTTTAAACTAAGTACCAACTTATATCCTCATTCAATAATAAGACTATTTATGTTTATAAATTAAGAATTTAAATATTCCATATTTGGGATTATATTCCTCGGTTACTTTCTTCTGAGTTCTTATCTGTTTGAAGCGACAGTTCAAAATTCTTAAAGTCATGTGAGCAGTGATACAGGAAAATTAACAAAGTACAGCCTATGTCAACTGCGTATGATGTAGTTTCCCGGTACGTGAAATAATTTTCATAACCGGATTAGTTTTTCCGTAGATAACTCCCCTGCAAACAATCCAATGTAGTATAAACTTTATCCCTTTATAATATTTGTATACACTCGGTTTCTAAATTGAGAATTTTAAGTTGAGAACATCTCAAACTGTACTTAAACGTCACTTAATGGGTTTAGTTTCTGATTTTAGTATTTTTAATGATCAATTGATAGCAGTTTGATTAAACTAGGATTAGCTAGGTTATAAACGGGCGGGATACAGTCACGTCTTTTGTTTAATTATCTTGCCTGTTTATCTGCTTCAACACTTTTTACCCATGGCGTCATTACATCTGGTCCTGCTTCTTCTTCTTCCACCTGAACAACAGTGATGTCGCAGTCTACCTAACGGCTGTGACAATGTTCCTTTGTATCTATCTATAGGATTCCTTCCCATCCCTGGGAAGCTACAAGATGGCCATCAACCTCACATCTGAATTCTGGAGCGCTGACTCCAGACTCGCCCTATACTTAGTAATATCTGGATTCTGGAGTGTTGCACCAAACCTCCCTGCTGAGCTTCCTGCATCACTGGACCTCGTATACCGTATATCTCGCCGAAACACTACCAAGTCAACGGATGAGCGAGACCTAGCTAATACGAACGGTTGACTAGGGCCATAAATCTCATGTCTCCTTATTTTTTGGGTAGTATATGTTTATAATAAAAATTAATTTGTTTTATTATCCATCACCTGTTAACGCAACTTACGGGCTCTAAACAAATCCATTCACCTATTTTGAAGTATTACAGTGCATTACACTGGTTATTTAATAGTTGTTTCAAATAACCATATGATTACTTCATAATTAGTTTAAGCACTTCATAATCTCAAAACCATAAATGCTCTCTAATAGGCTTGTATCCTACAAGTGATACAGATTTCTGTTATATTTTCGGAAATATGAAGCATTTTCACTTATAAATAATTAACGAAATAAATTTTATGACACTAATTTCAAAAAAATAACGCTTTGAATACTTGGAAAAAAGGGAAAGTATACTAAAAACATTTGCTAAACTACTTATAGCATTGAATTAGTTACATAAAACTTTACAGCTTACAGTAGCTTGGTGGCGTAGTGGATAAGCGCCGCGGCCCGCGGTCGTAGTCGTTAAGCAACTTTCGCAAGGGTCGGTCACGGGATGGGTGACCTAAAAATTATTATCTCAAGCTACTCCGTGCTTCGGAAGGTACATTAAGCCGTTGGTCCCGGCTGCATTTGCAGTCGTTAATACCCTCCAATCCGCATTGGGCCAGCGTTGAGGGTCATGGCCCATCCTCCTTAACCATCCATAAAGAAGGCCTGAGCCTCTGCAGTGGGGACGTAAAAGGGCTGGTGATTACAGCTTTCATTATAACGACTATAAACACGACTATACAAATAACAAAGATATTACAGAAATTGCCCAGACGCCCATACGTTTTTCATTACCGTAGCACCGTAGTGCGTTGAATTTGTAGGGAGCATTTTCGGCGAACTAGCAGCTCTTCCACAAACAGCAACGTATCTCCTAAACTATTAAGCGCAGACATGATGTTACTTCTGCACTATTTCTCAGAAATTAATGGACTATTTATTTATAAAAAAAAAAAAATTGCTAACTAATCTTTGGTTATTCAGAGGTAGGTAGACTTATAATATGGCGACGACTGTACATACAATCAAAATATATTAACAAAAACACTTCGCCATATCACGTTTCTTATTAAACTTCAGCCTTTCAAAAGCATAAATTCTTCCAAATTGTACCTAACTTTAGATTTTGTGAAAGTTGCATGGAAACAATCAGCAATATTTTCTAGAACTTTCTGCGTGTTTACGCCATATTTCACGTCTGGAGAATGATTCATGGGCCCTTTTATCCTCAACTTAAACAGTTAATCACGGCATTTACTATGTTCAAGTGTTGACACGCTTAGAAATTTATTTCGGGCAATAATGAAGTGGGTTTTAGCTTTATTGTTTTTGGTTATTTAGTATATGAAATTTTATATTTTATGTGAAACAAGCATTCAAAGTGAACAAAGCCGTGTACATTCATTATGCAAGTTCCGAGATTTATATACAAAGTTGTGCGAAGAGCAGGTGGATCGTCTTCAGATACAAGTTTACAATTTACTGCTCAGTTTCTGTACAGTGACCACTATGGCTCATTTAAAATACATTGTATATTATATTCTTAAAAACATGAATATTGGACATCACATACCGTATATAATAAATATTAAACAACTTCACGTACATTGCTCAGATTCAAAGATGAGAAGCTAAAGCCCCCATATTATGGAGTATCTGAGACATGGAAGGTATCACAATAGGAAAAAGTGCATTTTCTACATTGACCCGACCGGAATTAAACCCGGGATCTCAGAGATGGCGAGACCTTGAAATTGTCGTGCAAACCACCCGGCTACGAAGGTCGTCATACAACATCACATAAGTTCACGGATTTTTGACACTGGCCCTTGACACCAGCATGCAAGCCACTCGGTTACAGAACTCATATTAAAATCGTAACAAAATACATACCTTAATAAATCTGCTACTTTTTTCGTAGATGTGGTTTATTTTATAACGTGTATTTTAAATTAATGAACATTTTTATAGGTAGTTTCAGAAATATAGAGAAAAACAGTTAGATAAAAAAATATTTCTTTTATAAAAAATATCGCTTATCTGTATTTACAAAGACAATAACGTAAACGATTTTCTTCATAAATTTACAATAACCGTAAAGAATCAGCGTTGTTTACGTTTTTGTTTACTAATATTCCATCTTAATAATCATTAAGATATGCACACTTTAAAATTTATAGCATTAAATATTAGATAAAAACTAAATTCGACCTTATTTGAAGATAAAATGATTGATTTTTCCAAATATAACATTATATTGTAAGTTTTGAATGACAATGATTTTGATAAAATACTCATAAATACATACTTTAAGAAACTGTTAAGGCCGTATGTTATTAACATTTCACATTATAACATTAATTACAGGTTACAAATTAGTTATAAATTATCATATATCAAGTAGTTCTTATATTAATCTATAAATAGTACAAAGTCGCTACCCGCTGTCTATACAGCTGATATCTTTTAAACTTGTACAGGACCACGCGGGCGAAACCGCTGGCGTAACACTAGTTTTTTAAAACAAGATCATTTGCAGTGTTAATGTTTAAAATAAAATGTAAGAACGCTTTAAAATTTGCGCAAGATCCTTTTGTTAAACCATTTATTCCATATTATTCATACCGGAATCCTTTAACCTATGGCTATAATAAGTCTCGCATCCGTACATTTCTACGGACAGCGTTATTGAAACCCTCACGGTATTGGTAGAATACGTTTGATGACGAAATCACGTCTGGAACAGCATCTGTTGACAAAACTTAAAATTATTACAATAGTAAATAATTTACACCATCAAAGTTTTAGTTTAATCGCAAAGAATGCTGTTGCTACTATATTATTTTTCAGATAGTAATGGATTATTAATTTATAAAATAAAATAAAATAATTATCAACTAGTCTATTGTTCTGAAATAATGCTAAATAATGCCGATACATCTTACATACATTTCAACGGTTTATTTTAATTGATATAAATCAATTTCATCAGTTTCAATGCTATATTGATATATGTTTCGTATATTGATATTACTGCTGTTAAATTTTTACAAGATAAAATACTTTTATCAACCAAAATTGTCATCAATCAAAATCTTCACCGATTTAACACCCGCTGAAAGCAAGGCAAAAGATTTCAGAGCTAAGCTGACTTGACACTTTATCGAAGATATCCCGGACATCATAGCCTGTATGAGATTAGTATGGCCCTTAAACAAATAAAAAATAACAAGGCGGCGGATGATAAGCCGATACTTTTTAATTCTGGCATCCTCGAGGGTAGAACGCCAAAAGCATGGAGCAAGATTGAGGTCGCCCTGTTTTTTAAAAAGGGTGATAAGCAGAGGTTGGAATTAGGTAGAGTTATTTATGTACTTGCATCGAAATGTTGATATTAATGTGGACCTTCCCGGGATTTCTTTATTTCTTTCTTTCATTGCTGTAAGTTTGGCAACGTCGTGCGTGCAGTAGTTTAACTTGTGTAAAAGTAAATAACTTTTTATTTAAAAAATCACGGGATTTTTTCTGGTCTTTAAAATTAATCTCGGGATTTGAGGCATATCCACTTTATTCTTTCGCTGTATGAAATCAGTGTAAGTACATGAATAACTCTACCTAATTCCGACCACTGGTGATGAGACACTCTTGAAGAACGATATAGTTCTGATGTCGCTGTTGAGCCATATCTACAAGTTGTTTTCTAGGGTCATTATGAATCGTCTCGGCCGCAGGTTCGACGACTTCCAACCTCCCGAACAAGCCGGTTCCCGAAAAGGCTATAGTACCGTAGACCACATTCATAACAAGAGCCCAAATCTAATCCGATTACATCGAGGAGTGAAACAAGGGGATGTTATTTCTACAAAACTGTTCACCGCTGCGTTGGAGGATATTTTTAAGCTTTTGGACTGGAAGGGATACGAAATCTTTAGGAATGTTATGGCCGACTCTTTGGAAGTATTGAATACCGTGCTCGAAGATCTCAGTAGTGCGTCTCAAGATGAACATGGCAAAGATAAAAATCATGTCCAATGCCCATGTTGTTAGGTCAAGTCAAAATTGGGAATACTACATTCGAAGTTATCGACCATGGACAGACAGTCCTACTCGGTAAGTCCAACATAGAGAAAGAGATCTCTAGTCGAATCATACTCGTGTGGGCAGCATTTGGGATGTTACGAAAAATCTAATAAAGATCGCGGAAAGCCGCTGGATGCGGGTAGCGCAGGACCGAACGTCATGGAGACCCATGGAAGAGATCCATGTTCAGCAGTGAGCGTCAAACAGCTGATATAATGAGCATGATCATGATGCACCAAAATTGCATCAAAAACAAACTTATATGAAACTATATTACTTTATTAAACAGTTTTAAAAGCATATAAATCGTTATAACACACATATATCGCAGAGCTCGAGACACAAACTTTATAATATAGGTGCTCGATTACTCTGGGCCGCAGATGCGTGCTGGTGGCCCACGGTGCAGTGCATTTCAATTACAGAATTCACAATGACACAATAAAATACGAACGCATAACACGTATATATCGGTAGTATAATAAATATCGGTTTGATTAAATTAACTACTATCATTGTAATAGAAGATAAAATAATGCTCTAGAACTCATTCGTCAGTACGATACGATCACTCATGAAATACTGTTAACTATAAAAAAGAAAATTTAAATTTCATTATGTTTTATGTATGTATATGTAAGTATATTTAAATAATAGTTTTTGTATAAAAAATCTATCTCTATTGTGCACCCCACCGTTTATTTGTCTCCACATAACCCTAAGGTTGACTGGCAGAATATGCCTACTGCATTAAGTCCGCCATTGTACATTTATTCAAGAACTATTAATAAATAAAAGCTGTTTTTCAGCGACCTGTCCCGCGTAAATTATAGCCTGTCCTTCCGCATATAATGTATCTTCCGGAGAACAAAAGAATTTTTAAAATTAGTGTCCGTAGTTTTGAAGCCTATTCAAACAAACATTTTTTTTCTATGTTTAATATTAGTATGGATTAGTTCTCATGCTGTTGATTTGTGAATCGATGTCATAGTTTTTCCACTTGCACAACTGCAAAAGCTATTTGAGTTTAAACAAGAAAACAATCTAGTTGTCTTTTTAATATTAGTATAGAATTAACAGCAGGTACTTGTAGGTAATGATTTCAAAAAGCGCTTTCAATTTTTTTGAATTACGTCATAGTTCTGCGGAATGAGAACACCTTTAGAATTATCTAGAATAGTTGCATCAACGTCACAACGTAACATACAACCGTCACACATTCGACATGTTTGCCTCCGTTAATCGTTCAGCCCGCCTCGACGGTACACGCTCGCATTGTATGTCATTGTAAATATCTACACCCAATACAAATGTAATTAAAGAACTGACGGATTATACATTCACATTTTTATATATTAAGTACTAGTTAATTGCACGGCGTATTAATGAATGAACACTTTGTTGTACACCGTATAAAAAATCTTTAATATAAGCACACGTTTGCAGCACAATTGGCGGCCTTATCGCTCGAAACCAATTTCTTTTAGGCAAACGTAGGTTTACCTAGATTGATTAAAATAATTCATGGCGCATTAAAAAGTAAGTAAATAAAATAAGTTCTTGATCCATCGATCTAAGCTATACACTCACAATAAATTTAATTTGTTATAACAAATGTTAAACTGTTTTAATACTGTCAGATTGCAGTTTCAAAACAGTTATTTTCTTTGTAAGTATTTAACTTAAAGTTGTGTAACCTAACTTGCCGCATTGTGATCAATATGCTTGGGAAATAATAACGTAAAAACCTGCCAAGTGAGAGTCGGACTCGCGCACGAATGCACGCTACATACCACTATCTATAAAATCGAATGCACGCTATATACCATTATCTATAAAAACGCATAAAAATAACGTTTGTTGTATGAAAGCCTTCCTTTAAAATATTTATTTTATTCTGTTTTTGTTGTAACAGCGTCAACAGAAATACATCATCTGTGAAAATTTCAACTGTCACGCTATCAAAGATCTAGAGAAACAGTCTGGTGACCGACGGACAGAGGAGCGGACACCTTGGTTTTAGAATTAAGGTTCCGTTTATTCTAAAAACTATCACAGACAATAATAAGATATTAATCATAGATAAAGAGTAATAGTTTCAATATATTTTCGTATGTGATAATGGCCACTATCATCTAGTATATGGCACAGTTACAATGGCGTCCCGAACTATCTGTGAAATCAAACAGCAAAGTCAATTTCGCGACGCCGCCGGCCGTCCGCCGCCCGCCCTCCCGCTCCAACAATTAGTTTAAACAACCCGCTTCATTATAACTTGCGCCGCCTCCTGGTACAGATAGCTTAATACACATCCACCACGTTATTGAAATAAAAACTATAAAATAAATACTCCTCTGGCAACATTTCTCATGTCAAATTAATTTTGGAAATTCGCTCAATGTTTTATTCAATGTGGTGTATAAATAAACGAAAATGAAAATCATAATAGTTCCCACCTCAGGGTACCTGGGGCTGGTGGATTTTTTTAATAAATTTTCATTAAAAATATATATTCATATAATAAAAAAAGCAAGAAATAGTGTAATTTTTATAAATTATTATGTACGACAAACAATTCATTATATTTAAACAAAAGCAGACTTACATCTTAATATATAAATATATTTTAGGTTTAATATATCAATTTTAAGCTCTAATGAATGTTCTAAATTTAAACAATTGTATCGATGATCTCGCTTTAAACTAATGAAAATGAACGTTTGTGCAACTTGTAGTTTATTTAAGATTTATTATTAAACTAAGTACTTTCATTCGCGAATATCCTTAATTTAACTTAAATAAAATCTTTTGCTTAGTTATAATGGTCAATTTTAGAAAAATCTATTTAAAATACCAAAAGTTCATTTTTTATTACATGCCTTTCTTCACCTGCACTCATATAATATATAACATAATAAATATTTATATAATATAATATGATATATAATATAATAAAATATTTATATAATAACATAATAAATATTAAAATGTGTTTAAAATAATTTTTTTTTTCAACAGCTAGGAAGGCTTTGCATGTTTTCATTAACCTATTCTTTTAAGTTATTTTAATGAATTATTTTAAGCCTGCTTTGGTAAACGTGAAAAAAAATACGATTATGTATAAAAGAGATCGCAAATACTATCTACGTGTCCTTCAGAAAACTACAGATATCCGTAGATGCTACGGGTTGTAGTCGTAGCACAGGTAGCTACATACACAGCACGCAAGTCATAGCGACTATAAATATAGTAGTCGCTCTATTTTATAAACTTTTATATAACTTGCTTGTTTGCATGTCAGTCAGTTCGCAAATCTTGTAACTTATAATTGACAGATTTCCCAATGTCCGATAGATATAAAATTTTGCATAAACATGTAAGTACCAGTAAGCTGATATGATGGTAAAGTCTGAAGGTGATCATAGGAAATTAGTGATGAAATGACGCAACTGCATCGTGTTTGAGTTCGTTAGATCCGGTTTTTTGAGGACTTTGGTACTGGATGCTTTCCAGACCAAGGTCTGGTGATAATGAAGCTGGAAGGTGGTCATAGGAACTTATCAATGAAATAACGTAACTGCATCGTATTTGGGCTCTTTAGATGCGTCTGTATGGGAACAACAACGTGTTGAGACAAAACTAAAAAAATATATTTAAAAGTTTTTTATAAAAAAACTAGCTTTTATTTGTGCGCAATAAAACGGTAAAACTCTATTATCTATAACAGTAATTTTTGAGAGCTTATGTTCTGACCGTACATCAGTACAACAATATGGATTCAGAGACGGCGAGCGAATTTCCACTCAATCCCATTAGAAATCGCGTTGAGATTATTAAACAGTCACCTTAACGAGAATTGTAGGGGGTTTACATAAGGATTTGTTTACACACGCGCTCTTTGTGTGTTGTACAATAGGATACTGTTATGTGGTTACATTAGTATAGTTAAACTGTTGGATATGTTGACGACAAGAAATAGTTTTGAATTTGTGTTCAAAATTTATATAAATAAAAAAATATCTCAAAGAAATCACTGGCTATTAGAGTCATGGTACTAAAATTAGATGGCATATATAATCAGCCGACCAATTGGGTGACTAGCCCTTTAAAATTATGGCGCTATTCCATTAATGGGCTGACTTTCCATTGAATTAGAAGTAAAATAAAATAAATATTGTAGTGGGCAGTTTTCTATATAAAACTCAAAAACTCCTTATTGCGATCTGTAATCGATACAGACACAGACCAAAAAGATAATAACAAACTGCTCATTCGCGACTGGGTGTCAACAGTCCGTATGAACCAATACAGGACGCTAACGTGCACACCCTTAACACCTATGGGTTAAGCTTACACTAAGCTGGCTTAAATTTTCATAATAAATTCTTAATACTAATACAATTATAAAAAGACAAATTATACCGCGATTCAGGCAGCCACAGCGCAATCTATCGAAAACGAGAGTAAGCAATGTATTTGACTGCGATTGCTTTAGTATGTTTATTACTATTTCGAAGTTGGTGCTACAATAGCTAATAACAACATAACTTTTAAGTAATTGGTAGAAATGTCATGATTCAACTAAAAACTAGGCGTGCAATTGAATGATGCCATTCAAGTAAATGGCTAGCCGCCCAATTAAACAGCTTACTTTGCGACTAACAATCGCGCGAAAGTCCAACATCCAACCTCGTTTTACTATCACTGACACCAAGGCGCTGGAAACGTTCCTGTGTAACAATAAACCCGCAACACAAGCGCATATTTGACCTCGGGTTGCAAAAATTTATAGAAGAAGAAAGAAGAGCAAGCACATCTGATAGTGCAATTTAATTTAAAACAATACATACTGTACTTATTAATACGCAAAGTATAAAGAAGGCGAGTCTAACCTAATCCTTATTTAACAAAACACAATTCGGGAATATCTATTAAAATATCCCGGTCGCGACGAAATTATACGCGATTAATATCAAAATGTTAGACAATCGGCGAGGCGAGCGTAGGGGAGGGGGGGAAAGAGATCAGGTGTTCGATTCCCGGGTGGCACGGGAATGAATATTAACAACCCTTTCGGGTGGGGTACGGGTAATTGAAAATAATAGGCCACGCGTAACTCGACGTGTGATTAGCGTTATACGATAATAGTCGAGAGCAATTTGTGCGATTGTTACGCAGACATTATACTTCATATTACACTTAGGTTTTATTCATTTCACTTAGGTTTTTATAGAGGTTAAAATGGAATATGTTTTAATGTTTTTAATGCAAAAGTTACTGTCTGTTCGTTTTTAGTAACATTATAAGAGGAATTTCGAGAATTCAAAACTACTGGACAGATTAGAAAAATTCTTTCACCTACGGGAAGGTAGATTATACGCGGGTACAATAGGCTATAATTTACACGGGTTGAGTCGCAAGACAATACAAAACCCTGGAGAAAGATGAGTAGTAGTTTTTAATAGAAAAAAGAAATTATCTCTAAAATAAATGAAAGCTGACTAGAAGTTATAATTACCAGTACCATTCATTACTCAAGTAAAATATTAAAAAACGAGTTATATAAAAAAAAAAAACCAAAAACTCATGGATTTAATTAAAATTCTCATTAATAACAATTATATTCTGACATGTTTTGAACGTCTACCAATGATCTTTTTTTAATAATTTTAATTGATTCATTAATGTTCAGGGAAAAACTAGGCTGTTTGCTGGAAGTACTAATTATACACAGACGAAAATGCGTTCACGAGCAATTTGTTTATAAAACATGGAACAATTAAATTTCAGTGACGTTTATCGAGAGCACAATATTATAGATATCATATTATATTTGTAATGAATAAACTCAAGCGATTAGATTTATATTTATTTATTTATTATTAACCAAAAACCTAATATTTAAGCTATAGGGGTCAAAATATGTATATGGTTAATTTATACGTAAACGCAAGCATATAATTACCTGAACGTTGTACTTGTGAGAGCGGAACGATGCGACCGAAAAAGTCTTTGTGGACCTGAAACAAAAAAAAAAGTTAAACTGAGTGCTTTAATACTCGTTTGTACCTAATAAATAAACTAGAATACGTTTTGATCTTGCGATATAGCTACAAATGTCTGTAACTTTAATGTTTTAATTGGGATTTAACCTTTCAGGATTTGAAAATCTTATCTGAACAAAAACATATCAAAACACAACTTCAATTTAAAAATTCTAAGAGAAAAAAATTCGCTTTGCCCTCTCCACGTGAGACTTTTAAAAGAGTAAAGCAGAGATGTAGGAGCGTCTTAGCGATTTCCCTGTTAGTGAGTCGTTTCGTCTGTAGTGAGACCACTCGTGGTCGCGTACAAAGTCGTTAGTGGTCTATTAGTCGCGCGTCGTTGTTAGCGAGCGATGCAAGCCGACACGAGCACACTCTACTAGCGCTACATTAAGGTGGGTACAGATTATTTGCAATGTAACATGCAATACAAAATACAGTATATTGTAGACGGTCTCCGCGCACGCTGCGTGATTCATCATCGAAAGTCTTTTCCCGACAGTCTTCAGCACACAAACCATGGAACCACTCGCTTAAAGTGCTTACAATGATTATAAACGTCTCTATTATTTATTAAATTAGGCCTGTCCATGGAACCACTTCAGGCTCATAAGATTTTGCAAAATAGGTCTATAATGCGCGGATACATTAAATATTTATATACCCATCCAACAGATTAACATAAGGTTTCATTTGACATATTGTATTTATAAAAGTAAATAAAAACTCTTTTCCTTTTCGATGTGAAGTCAGTTAAAACTTATGAAGAGGTGAACAAAATGTACTGTATTTAATCTGTACACCACTTTACGTATTATACGTACCTGCTACTGTGGTTACGAGATAATTATAAGCCAGCCATTCTCACGCTGACGCTTTGTCAACAAGCGAGATGTGAAATCTGTTATAAAAAAAATGGTTTCCACGTGTTTTAAGATAAACTCGACACTTTTTAAATAAGTCCGTACATTTTCTATGTTTCAAAGTCACGTTGATAGTGTATTCAGCGTGTTTTTTTTATAGTTCTGATAACACTTTGAATGCTAATCGAATTCGTTTCAGCTGTAAAAGCATGGTCACTTTTAAACCCTTCGGCCGAATTCAAAAAAAGTTTCTTGCATCTGTTAATAGCCATTATAGTCTTTGAGAATCAGGTATTTTTTGATCTTATTGACGCTGGCTATAAAGGATAACGTTTAAGAAACTATTTGGAAATCTTATCAATAATATTTATGATTCACCATGGATTAGTAACGAAAGTTTGTTGTTATGACTGTTACAAAATTAGTCTTTTATTCATAATCACAATGAACATGGAACCTGTAAAGGATCCAAGTCGCCCGAAAAATTAAATTTCTATTTAAAATTTTTGTAAATAAAAAAACCGTTTTTAAGTTTTTTTATCCAAGATACAGTTACGTTTAAGTTTATTAATTTTTAATGCCAATTTTGCCTTATCAAAAACCTATTATATTTCTTAAGGAATAAGCTTTTTTCAAAAAATAGAACCTACTTCAAATTTAAAAAAGTGATAAATAATACTTATCTCCAAAGCGACTTATTCAAGAATTTGCTATTGAAGTCGAGCGGAGGTCTTCTGATGGTTAATTAAATGATAGAGAAGCTAATAGGTTGAGGATAAAGTTACTTCTCATTTTATATGAAAATTCATTTTTTAATAAGTTTATTTACATTTAACTAAAGTACGAGTATGTAGGTACCATACTGTTCAATATTTTTTGTCATCTTGTAGGTAAGTACATGATTGCTACAGAAATTACCGCGACAAGTGGTTTTGGCAGTGACACTTCGGTCTAATAAGCAGTCGAATAAAAAAAGAGTTTTGATAATTGGTGGACATACAAACAAAATCATCCTCCTCCTCATCAACCTTCGTTATATGTTCGACGGCTAAGTATGTTTTTTTTAAGTATATTTCCGCCGCTTTTCGATTTTGTAATAGATTAGAAAGGGACTCAGATGCAATAGTACCTTGTAATACAAAAATATGTTTGTCTTGGGACATTAAACGATTATAAATCTGTAAACATAAAAACAAAATATGTAATCTATATATTAATACGTGAAGCAAAAACTTTGAACCCCTTTTAACGAAAATTGCGAGGACGGAGGAGAATGAAATTTAGCACACTTATAGTTCATATGTCGGAGAAGTGCAAACGGCTACTATTTTCAATAATAATGCTTATAAAGTACATTAAACCGATAAATAAAACATTATACACACTACTATGCATTTGACACACACAAACAAGTATTTGCTACACGCATACACGTACTCTGTGGTCAAATTGTTTCTTTCGACACATAGAGTTTGTTTGTTTCTTTTGAACATTGGCGTCGCACGGTTTGTGCATTTAGCCTGTGTCAAGTTTTATATGTTTACCATAGACATCTATTTATATGTTTGTGATGTTTACTGTTGTCTTACTGAATGTCAAAAGATTTTCGATTTCAGTAATTTCATACACTTACAGGAAAAAGAAGTGATTTTGAGTGATAAGTGCAATGCAATGCAATATACAAATGTGCTATTATTCTATATTTAACGAAAGCTCTGTATCAGTAATCTGAATGAAAAATTTCATCATACAGGTAAACAAATATATAAATCTGTTATTGTTGGTTCAAAGGTCTTTTGTATTTTTATTGTGGAGACTTAACAAATCTTTTACAGCGTTGACGAAATCTGTGGTTATCGTATGTAGTCATATAATCTTTGTCATTAGAACATTAATAATTTTTTAACAATATATTTTAATAAATTATATTAAATAACTTCTAATTGAAATTTATTATGGTCGAATTTCGACTAAATGTTAAATATTATTATTACAAAATTTGTCGTATCCTTAGTCGTACTTCATGTCATAGTCATTACATTAATTGAACGATTGATTAGAAACCACATATATCAATCAACAATGAAACGAATAATAACAATATCCGTGAGGGTTGGCAATAGCAAACCAATTGCTTGTTACAACTGTCGTAGCTAGAATCGACAATAACACCGCAGTACGTCTAGATTGGACGTATGGTGTAAATTACAAAATATGGCGTTTACTTTCCTTCTCTGAAGCTACCGTTACTAATAATAGAATTATTTTGCTTTAAAGCTAGGATTACATGCCATTTAATTATAAGATTTTAAATTGGTGCACGTCAGGTTACCACAATATGTCAAATTTCCGCAAGTTAATTTGTACTATGTTTATATTAAGGTTTTAATCAAGATGATAATTTTGTTAGTTTTGTTAACTTAACGTGCTGCCGACCTCAATTATCTTTGTAGCTTCGAATACGTGTAATTAGTACGAAAATAGACTTTGTGAACGAGGACTAAGTAATTTTACTTAAAATAACTTATCGAGAACACCGATTCTTATAAATTATCAATAAACGAAAATAAAATTATTTGCTTTTTTATTATAGAATAGCGACAACTTCAATACGTGATTGAATCACCATTACAAAAATAATAAAGGAGTAAGTATCTCACTTGGACCACACGCTAACTTCGTTTTTTCGCAATATTTCTGATTACCCGAGTCGCGCGGCGCGACGGTCGGAGATGGGCGGTAAATCGGAACACAAGCGCATAAACACAATTCCGCCCTCATAAAAGTTATCGCGTGCGACATCACCGCGTAGTCGATAGGTGATAATGTAGATCGTTATCGACGTAACGTAACTCGGTTTGAGAATACGGGGGAATGTCGATGATATGATGGCCTGGATATTATTGGTAACGTTACATTACGTTTAGGCGCTCCGGCGACAACGACATTGGTAATAGTTGACTATTGATTTCTTTATTTTATTAAATTAAATCGAATCAAAATTATTTATTCAGTCTAATCTGTTACAAAGCATTTCTGAAAGTCAAAACTCTATGCCATCAGTTCGTACATCCACGGCGGGAGATCTTATACTGAGAAGAACCAACAAGGAACTCGGCAAGGGCAGTTTTTTTTATTATTATTTAGAACAAGTAGTTGCTCGCGATCTTATTCGAATAATATATTGTTTTCGATAGTAATTGAGAAAGATTGGTGGAGGTGACAACTAATTTCAATTAAGTATGACCCTTTACACTAGTATAAATAATACCTCAAGGAAATATTCTTACCCAATAGACGAGAATTTGCATGATATAAGAACTGCTGATACCTAATAATAATAAACTAACCGTTGTCAGTTCTCACTTCATTCAAATTCTTAATTATTGTTTAAAAATATTTGCTTAAGGTATTACTTATACTCAAGTAATTACTTTTACTTATTATACTCAAGTATGACAATTAATACAAAAGTCTTATTTGGATGGTGAAGAAAGGAAAAATCGGAACTACCGAAAAAGATCAAAATAAAAAAAAATTAGAAGCCCTGAAATACTAGGTACATTTACTAATTTTATTGGTAATGTAAGTAATATATGTAAGACGAATAAAATTGAAAATATATTTCACAAGGGGGAAATATTTATTACCAATGAACAAATCAATGGGAAACTAAACCCCAAAGCCGATTACCTAGTGAACCTAAAAGCTGACCGTAAAAAACAATCATCTGGAAAACAACTTTAAACATTCATTCTGCTCTCAAATATTTATCGCAAACATACTATATTTCACATAGATAACATTTTTCCGGTCGGGTGGGCAGACTCCGAGGGAGGGGGTGAGGGCGACAATAACAAACAATAGAAGAGTATGAAAACTGCTGCTACTGCTTAGGAGGAAAATATTTGCAGCAATGTTCAGCTTTAAGACTATAGCGATTCGCCTATGGGCCTTACCAGAATACTAATGCCATTGTACAATAGTGTTTGTGTTGCAGTAATACTATGGTCATGTAGGAAATTGGTTGATTAGCTAACCACGCCAACTTCGTACCGAATATTAGTTAAATCACGTATACCGCCCTCAAATATAAACATGTTGGACTTTATT